AGTCTTGGTCCCCAGCCCTGGTCCTGGACCCCAGCCCTCGTCCTGTTTCCTGCCCTGGTCCCAAGCCCTGGTCCCCGAGAGGCAAAACCCCTCTCATTTATATGCAGGAACATGGTGGAGGCTCCTAGGTCAGTCACAGAAAGGTGTGACATATGTTGGAGAAATAATCCACTAAACACACAAAAATCCAGAAAAGAATTTTCTGCTTCCTTTTCCCTTTCCAGCACTTGCAGGATTGGGTGAGGTTGCAGAAAGAAATGGAAAAGGAACTGTCAAGTTCCAACACATCTCTAAGATTCCTGAACTGTTCCTTTGATGATCAGTGGGCTTGTAAGAAGGCTTATAAATTGCCTACAGCCTCTCCTTTGTTTATGGCCAGCTTCATTGGCAACTTTGCTGTACCTGTCGGGGCTTTCTGACAGGCTGTTTTCTATCTGCAAAGATGGATATGCACCTAGGCAGTGCTCTGGGAACTGCTGGTTTCTGAAGGGCAAAGAGGTTGGCAGGAGGGCTCTGAACACAGGTGGGGAAAAGACCATGGGACATGGAAACATCCCCCAGTTATAAAATCTTCAGGCAGAAGAAATATGGTTAGGGAATGAGAAGAAAGAAAAACCGGATTTGTAGTCAGAGGGAGAACTTCTCAGAAAAGTCTGTATTATTCCCTACATTGCAGCCCCCTTCCTCTGAGCAAGCCCTCTTGCCTCCTGTCCCACACAGGAAAGCCCCTGCAGTCACTGCTGTGTGTCCAGGGCATGAAGCACGTCCTCTGCAGCCACAGTTCCAGCAGAGCAGAGGTGCATCTCTCCAGCCACGTGCCCATTTCCCTCTGTGGTGCAGGGGGGCTGAGAGCAGCAGCCTGGGGCTGTGGGCAGTGCATTCTGTGAGGCTGGGGAATGAGCTGACTTTCCCTTAATGAGACACCATCATTAGGACACTTGTCTGTCTCCCTGGGATGGCCTTCCAAGTTGTGAGCTGCCCTGCAGGATAGAAATCTTTTCCGTAGTATCTCTGTGTTATGTGAATGCCCCAGGAAGAAGCAGAGATATGCTGCATGTGAGGACATGCTGTTGGGTTGGTGAAATAAATGATAAGTGTCCTTGGCAAGACATGTGGTGCTGAGACCTTGCTTAGGTACCTTGAGAAAGGCTGCGCACTGAGAGATTGGCAGTGGGTTCCTCTGCTCTTAGCAGTGTCTGATTTCTTTGAAGTGTACCATAAATGTGATTGCCATCCATCTCCAAAAGCAGCAAGATCATGGCCATTGGGAACAAGCCCAACCAGCTCCCCTCACCCTGCTCTGAGCTAAAGGGAATCCCTTTGCCTCTCAGGTCTCACAGCCATTCACTGTGGGTGCAGCAGAAATCCTCAGGACTTCTGACTTCAGAGGACATTCCTTGGGCATGATGAGGTTGTGTAGGAAAAAAACAAAAATTCCTAGAAGTCCTCTCAGCCCTCCACGTTCTTTAGGCCTGTTAGGACACCACCCCGTATGCCCTTCTGCATTGATTTCATCTGACAAATTCTGAAAATATAACTTGGAGCCTCTGCCATGTTCTGATGTACCCAATGCACAGGGACAAGACTGCTTCCTCCTGACCCAATATGCACAGGTCCCGAATACTTCAGTATCATATTCAAACTCATTAAATATAGCTTATGAGGCTGAATGACAAGTGAGGGAGTGTGGCAGGGAGGGGTTCAAGGAGAAATGGAGTAGATTTCACTCTGGGAAGCCAGTATTAACTTGTCATTGTTTTTTTTGTTTGTTTTTTTTTTCCATCTTGAAAGCTCCCTAGATCCAGCACACTGATGGGCAGCACACTGTTCTTTGACCTGCTCCCCATCAAAGGAACAGATGGACTAAATAGCGTGGAAAAGGGCTTCAGGGTACATTTAAGGAACAGGCAGAGCCCTTACCAATTTCAGACATGGGCAAAGCAGACTCACTCTAGGAAGACGAGCATAATTTATTGAGTGCTACTGGTAGACTGGAGCAGTGAGAAACTAAATGAGAACTAAGAAAGTTCATGGTCTCTCTCTGCCCCTGCTCCAGCGTGGGGTCCCTCCCACAGCCAGCTCTCACAGCCATTCACTGTGAGTGCAGCAGAAATGCTCAGGATTTCTGACTTCAGAGAGCACTGCTTGGGCATCACGAGGGAGAGGATGCTGTCTAGCAAAAGCAAAACTAAACTAAAAGTCCTTTTTGTCACCCACCTTTTTTTTTTCTTTTTTTTTTTTTCACATTCGGAGTGCAGATGTAAACGTCCCTTCTGTGCTAGGAGTGATTTCATATGTCAAATTCTGAACAAAAAATACTTGCCCTACCATGTTCCAATATACGCAGTGCACTGGGAAAGGACTTCTAACTCTTGAGCCAATGGGCAATGCCATGATGGTAATGGTAAACTGAACCTCACAAAAAGAATCTCAAGTCATGGAAGTGAAAGGACATATTTCCTAGAGAAAAAAAAATTCCTAGAGAAAAAAAAAAAAAAAAGCCTTTTTACATGTGCCTTCCTCACATGACTGTGCGGCAGGCATTCCATGTTACTTTGTCAGCACTGGATTTTTTTCCGACGTGAAGCCTCCCTCCACCTACTCCCCATCCCTGGGCCTGGTGGTGGCAGTTCTGTACTCAGTGATGCCTCCAGCACTGAACCCTCTCATCTACAGCATGAAGAACCAGGAGCTCAAAGATTCAATATGGAAATTGCTGACTAGTTGTTTATCAGTGGCCACAGACTGTCTGCCTTCTTCTGCAGATGGCTCCAAGTATTATTCATGACAGGCCATCTTGCCTTTCCATATGGCATTTGTCTCTTCAATTTTCCTTTCTGCCCTTGTGATATTGTTGCCTACACAAAAATGCCCTTTTTCATTCCTTCCTGCACGAGTATCACCCTTTCTGTGTGACCCAGGATTTCTGTAGTCAAGGAGCCAGGATCTCTGTGTATTTTAACCAAATAAATGTTGGTCTGAGACCCATTCTGAGTTGATCAGGAGTGAATGGGAACTGGAGCTGTGGTGGCAGTGCCCAGAGCCCTGCAGCAGCCTGCGATGGGCACTGCCGTGGGACCAGCCCAGCCTAGGCTACTGGGCTGGGCTGGGCTGGGGAGAGGGCAGGGAGGTGGGAGAGCTGGGGGGCAGCTGAGCTGGGCTGGAAGCTTCCCAGTAGAGAGAAACATCCATGTCGAGCTGGGATATGCGACCGTGCAGAGGGAGGACAGGCACTGCTGGCTTTGGATCGCGTGGCAGAGATCAAAGACAGGCTGGTGCAGGAGGGAGGCAGCTGGGCTGTGCCCTGCTGGCACGGACAGACCAGGAGGGTGGTCCAGGGCCTTTGTACCTGAAGCCTCTCTTGTCAGCCATGTCACAGCCCCTTTTCCGCTCTCAGCTCCTTGTTCCCTCACAAAATACCCCCTCACAGTCCCTGTCCCCTCACGAAGTGTCCTTTAACCCCTCATCTCCTCACAAAATGCCCCTCACAGCCCCTTTTTTCCCCTCACAGCCCCTTTTTCCCCTCACGGCCCCTTTTCCCCTCACAAAACGTCCCCTCACAGCCCCTCTCCCCTCACTGAACACCCCCTCAGCCCTTTTTCCCCTCACAATCCCGCATCCCCTCACCGCCAGACGCCCCCCAGAGCCTCGCACGCCTTCTCCAAGTCCCCCTGAGCCCCCCCAGCCCCCCATTTTCCCCAAAATCCAAAAAAATCCCCTCAGACCCCACTCAAATTCCCCCCCCCCCCCGCACCGGCCGCAGCCTCCGCCGCCATCGCTCCCGCCGGACCGTTTGAAGCCGCGGGGCGGGAGCCAATGGGAGGCCGGCGAGCGCGCATGCGCAGTGCGGGCAGCCCGGCGGGGCAGGACGAAATGGCGTCGGTTGCCTGGCAACGGGAGGAGGGGACAAAATGGCGGCGGTTGCCTGGCAACGGGGGAGATGACAAAAATGGCGGAAGCTGCCTGGCAACGGGGGGAAAAGAGGCCGGAACGGCGGTGGCGGTTACCTGGCAACGGGGGGCGGGGCGAAGGGAAAGGCGCCCAGTTTGTACTGGGAATGGGCCCAGTTTGTACCGGGATGGGGTTGGGGGGCCCAATTCGAACTGGGATGGGCTCAATTCATACTGGGAAAGGGCTGAGGGTCTCAGTTTGTACTGGGAATGGGCCCAGTTTGTACTGGGATGAGGCTGGGGAGCCCAGTTCATACTGGGAAAGGGCTGCGGGTCCCAGTCTGAGCTGGGGACAATCCCAGTTTGAGCTGGGTTGGAGCTGGGAGCCCTGGTTTGTACTGGGAAAGTACCCAGTTTGCAGTGGAATGGGCCCAGTTCATACTGGGAAGGGTATGGGGGTCCCAGTTTGTACTGGGGTGGGCCCAATTCATACTGGGAAGGGGTTAAGGGTCCCAGTTCATAATGGGAAGGGGCTGGGGGTCCCAGTTTGAGCTGGGAAGTGTAATACACAATAAATGTTTGTTCATTGTCTTTCGTGTTATAAAAACAAGGAGCTCCGTTTGAGGAGCGGGAGTTGAGAAAGCTCCCTGCTGAAGTAAGGAGTTGGATAATGCTTGGCTAGACACTATGAAAATTCTTTTGCTTAATGTAACAAAAAAGAGAACCCCCTCCCCTTCTCTCCTTCTGCATCTCAGTTGCCTCTTTTGTTCAAAGACCCTGCTGCAAAGCTCATGTAACCATCTCCTGAGAAGTTGCTAACCTAGCGTATCAACATCCTGCCTTCCTGTCTCACGCTGGGCCAACATGACCAAATAAAAAAAGAAGTTGAACCACAACGCCGAGGAAGACTACGGCCTTCATCTTCACGACCACCAGAGGGACAGAGATGACCCCCTAGCAACAGTGCGCGCAGTCGCAGAATATACCAGGATGTGCTGCATAATCCTGGAATTACCAAGATATAAAAAGGGACCCTGGCGGGGGTGAGGTGCGCGCCGTTGGCGGAGCCGAGACTCCCCGGCTGCCCAGCGCTGTTTTGCTTGCTGTTGCTTACTCAATAAATTCCTTTCTATTATTAATGCAATGCTCTCTGAAAATTAATTAAGGGGGCAACATATAACAGGAAGGAGGTGGCTCGCGCTAGCTGCAGGTAGTTCAGCGGCTCGACCTTGACGTCATCTGCAAGGAGAAGCAACATCCTCAGTGCCACAGCAAGCCCAAGTTGCTTGCAGCATTCCGAACAAGGGCCTAGAGGAAGGGTCGCTAAGAGAAACAGCTCCGGGGCCATGGGGTCTTCTGGGGGAACTTGAGCTCTTCAAGCTCCAGAAATGACTCTCGGTCTGTCCCATGACAGGTCTGTCATGGGACAGACCGAGAGTCATTTCTGGAGAGAGAGGAAAAGTTTATCACTTCTGAAAAATCCAAGGGGTGACAGCAAGTTTGTGTGCCCCAGGTGGTGTTTTGATGACCCGAGGAGATGCTCGGGTTCTCCACTCAGATGTAGGAGTGCGGTGGGGAGATTCTTGGGTGCTCCAGTGAGGTGCTTGGGTGTTCCAGGGAGGTGCTTCTGTGCTGCAGGAGTTGTATGGCAGGGGCAGAAACTTTTGTTAGGAGGGCAGAGGTTTGTGTGCTCCAGGGAGGCTTTTCTTCTGCCCCTGGGATATGCTTATGTGCCCCAGGGAGGTGCTTGTGTGCCCTGGGAATATCCTTGGGCTCTCTAGGAAGGTGCTTGATTCCTCTGGGGTCACTTGGAACCTCCGGAGTTGCCTGGGTCCAGCAGAGAGCAGGTTGTGTGCTCCAGGGAGTTGCTGGACTGCACTAAGTGTGTTGTTCAGTGCTTTAGGGAGGTTCTTGGTTGTCCCGACAAGATGCTCGTGTTCCACAGGGAAGGGGATGAGTGACCCAGAGGCAGGTGCTGGTTGTCCCCAGGGAGGTGCTTGCCTACCACGGGAAAATGCTTGTACACCCAAGAAGATCCTTTGCTCCTCCAGGACGTTGCGTGATTTACCCAGGGAGGTTTCTCTGACCCGGGGCAGGATAGGATTTCTTCATAGAGGTGCTTCATCAATGGAGGGAATTCCTTGGTTCTTGAAAGATCTTCTGGGGTGACCTATGCAGGTGCTTGGGCACCCATGGGGTTATTCTACTGTTCCCCAGGGAGGTGTTTCATTCTTCCAAGGAGGTGCTTGGGTTCTCTATTGAGGTTCCTGGGTTCCTCCAAGAAATGCTTGTATGCCTTTGGGCGATGTCTTAGAGCATCAGCAGGAGACGGGTTCACAGCGGAAATTGTTCAGGTGAACCCACCTAGAGTTGGGATCTCCCGTGAGGTGCTGGAATGCCCTTGGAAGATGCCTGAGAGGGAAAAGGTAGTGCTTAGGTGTCCTGGGGAGATGCTTGTCTACTCCAGCTCAATGCTCACGTGTCCTGCAGGAAGTATTTCTGATTTCAAGAGGTGCCTATATTCCCTGGGGAGATACTTGGGTGCCATGGAGGGTGCTTCAGGAAGATGCTTGTATTCCCAGGGGAGACTTTTACTTTCCCCAGGAACGTGTTTGGCTTCTCCAGGGAGTTGCCAGAACGCTCCTTGGAAAAGACGGCTTGATCAGAGGACTTGTGCCGAGGTCCTGCTAGCAAGACTGGTGGTCTGGGGAGATTGCTGGGTGCTCCAGGGAGATGCCTGTGTGCTGCACGGAGAAGCCTGGGCATCCTTGGGATGTACCCGTGTGCCTAATGGAGATGGTGGTGTGAATCAGGGCAGTGCTTTGCTACGGCGGATGAAGCGACACAAGCAGTCTGGCTGTGCTCTTTATTTTCCATTCAGGGGTGGAAAGCGGGAGAGCTTCCCAGCCCCTTTGCTCAGAGCTCCGCTGCTGCCTTCAGCATTCCCAGCACCTTCCCCTCCGTTGCGGTACCAGCATCTAGCGCTAGGGAGTCAGAAAGAAAAGAGGATGATCAGGTTGTGTACAGGCTGAACGCAGAGAAGTACTGCAGGCTTAGCTCGGGCCGTGCACGTAGGGGTCTGCTTCCCATGAAGCTTCAAGGTTGCCGTCAGCTGCGACAGATGCCTAGTGCCCAAGCTCATCAGCCTGGGGCTGAGGCAGGGGGAGCGGAGGGCCCCGGAATGCCCTCTCTGTCCCAGTGCTGCCCCCACGGGAAGGACGGGCCTTGCAGCAGCGGGAAGCACCATCCCTTTCTGGAGATACTTACCAGGGGAGCCGCTGCTGCTCTTGCTGCAGCCGCTTTTCCTCCGCAGCACTTCTGAACACCCTTTGTTGACTGCGATGCGGCTCCGACCTTTTCAAAACTTGCAGTGCTCGTGGGGAAAGGTGGCTGCAACACCAGGACAAAGGGATCCCTCAGCCTCTGCCAGACACCCCTTCTGCCTCTCCCCTCATCCAGACCCTGCACCCACGCGGTGCCACGTGCACCCACCCTTTCGCCCTGTGATGAGTTTTAGGCCTTGGCGGTAACCAAGGTCATGCCCGCTTTAGGAGAAAGCCAAGGGTGTCATAGGCAAGCCCAGGACTCAGGGACCGGGCTGCTGGACATCTCCTGACATCGCTCAGCAGCTACTCGAGTGCCCCAGCACGTGAACGCAGCCGGCACACACTTACTCAGGCTGGAGGCTCTCCAGCTTGGCTGCCGCTCTCCACTCCTCTTCTGCGGCAGGGATCTGAACCTTCCTCCACCTCCTCACGACCTCCTTGCTCCTGGGCTGGGCTGGGGGATGGGGAATCCAATCATGTTGCCTGGTGACCTGATGCAAGGAGAAGACGCTCTCATCAGACAGGACTGGACACACGGGTGCTGTTTCCCAGAGGACCCCTTGAAAGGACCCTGCAGCAGGACCTGGGAAGCAGGCGACTCGGCACTGCCGGCCCACGTCTGGCTGCTGCTTTGATCCCTCGCTTTCTGCTGACAGCCTCTCCCTCACAGGGAGGAGCAGGCAAAGCCCTGCCCTGCGCCCTGGTGCCCGTCCTGCTCCCACCACCCTGGGACCTGCCCCCCTCGGAGCCCTGGCGGGGAGGATCGCTGCTCTTCTCAGCGGTGTTGGTCACTGCCAGTACCTGAGGTGTCTCTTGGTCCTCCCCCTGAGACCAGGCTTCCCAAGCAGCCATTTCTGCCCGGGCTTGCTTTATTCGCTTTTGGTACAAGGGCCATGAGCTCTTTGTTTGGTCCCACTGCGAGGACAGGTTCCAGACCTCCTGGAGGAAAACAAACAAAAAACACAACGGCAGACAGGATTGGTCTCAGCTGTTGGACCAAAGACCTCTGCCATCAAAGACCCAGAAAGCCCTCATTCCTTTTCCATTGCCCCTGGTCCAAATGAAGCGGCTCATGGCAACACGGGAGGCAGCAAGAGGCAGGGAAGGTGTGCGGGACACCACCTTCCATCTCCCGAGGAAGAGAAGAAGGAGGTAACAAGTGTGAAAATGAACGCATCCAAGGGTCCGGCTTGGGATCGCTCCACACAAAGAGGCTTTAGTACAGTCCCAAACCGCGTGGTCATTGCAGCAAGGCAGAGCAGGTACCTGCACCGATCTCTGAGAGGCTTCGGGAGTAGGGAGCGCAGTGCTGGTGGACTTGGCTTGAGGAGCTGCTTCCTGCCTGTCTGTCTTCTTTGTCCTGGGGGAGCTGCCTGGACACGGGGGGAGCACACTGCAAACAGACACCGGGAGGCTGCATGAGCCCAGGGGAATTCGGTCTCCAGTCCGCGCTCGCAAGCTGCGTCAGCCTCTGCAGCAGACGGCAGTTCCGCAGCGAATGGGTGTTGGACTGGCCGTGTTCGCTTCAGCAGACACGGAGAGAGCCAACCGCGAAGCAGTGGCACCAGCTGCCTTCAGGAAGGCTCGCGATGCCCGTATCCAGGCCCTCTGTGGTGGCAGAAGGAGAGGAGCAGTGTCTTGTGCAAGGACAGGATCCTAGAGACACCAATACGGCCCAGCCGGGCTTATGGGTGGAAAGCAGATTATCGCTGGGGAGCCAGCAACATCGGAGAACGCCAACAGGCAAGGAGGGCAGGCATGCCACCTCCCTCCCTCGGCACTCTCTTGTGCCTCCCATGAAGTCTGGGATATCGTTTGGAAAGAAACGTTTCCATCTGGTATCACAGCTCCTTAGGCTGGAAGAAGCTGCGGGGCAGCTGGAAGAAACCGCAGGGGACGTTTGCTCCCACAGACAAAAAGATGGACTCTTGCAATGTGGGGGGGCTCCTGAAGGGACAAGAGCTTCTGCAACACGGCTCTGCATCCAGCTCCCCCAAGGATCAGGGCCCTGGTGGAAAATGAAGCTGGCGTGCCAGTCTCAGGCAAACGTGCTGCACGCTTGCCATGCGTGGAGAGAGCGGCCTCCTCCGGGACGGGTGTCAGGAGCCTTTCTGAGTCCCTGCGCCTGGTGGGTCCAAAGGGGACATCTCTCCTGTGTGGCTGCAAGTGGCTCCTTCCTCCTTTCCCCCAAGGGTCTCACCTGGTGGAAGGCTTCTTCTCCAGATCTTGCTGCCTCGTGCCTGGCTCCCAGCTTCTCACCGTGGGGAGGGAAAGCTTCCGCCTCTCCAGCAGCTTGCCAGGATGGCACAATGAAACTAGGAAAGGAGGAAGCTCTTCAGAGCAGCCGCATGGGCACTGCCTTTTAAGCTGGTTGCAGTCAGCCAGCATGGGGCAGGGACCACCCCCAGACAGCACGGACCCTTACCTCCTCTCATCCTGCACTCTCCTGCAGCTTGCTGCTGCGAGGTGAACTGCACTTTGGCCTCTGGCCTTGTCCTCACAGTCAGATGAAACCTGGCAAACAAATGACACGGGCTTGAAGAAGGCTGGCCTCCTACCCGTTGCTGCTTGCTGGCAGTAATCCTCCTGGTGTTGCACGGGACATGGCATCCCTCTTCCGTCACGTTCACGCATGGGGTTTGTTGTGAAGCTTCCCGCAACACCAGAAAAGGTAGCCTAAATTCCCCTCCACATGCAGGCAATTCTCTCTGAGGGGAATCGCGGCAGCACGGGCACAAGAAGCACAACCGCAGTGCCCCTCCTCGCCAGGTGAAGACACTCGTAGCCGAAAGTCAGCATGAGTTAACCAGGACCCAGTCTCTTCAGGATTTAGCCCCGACTGGATGCTGAGCGTGGAGACCCGACCGCGCACGTTCCAAAGGAGGAGGTGGGAAGCCAAGGGCTGCGGAGGAAATGCACTCACCTTGGGAACATCTGGATCGCACGAGCGGTGGTCTCTCCACTCAAGGCAGTCGGGTGTGCCGGCCACATTCTCTGCAAAGAGACACAGACCTGCTGGAGGGTTTCTGAGGCACTTTTCTCAGGGCTCTCATTGACAGGAAGCAAACCTGTCTCCCAAGCCAAAAGAAAGCCTTCTCTCCAAAACCCTCCTCCAAAGCCTCTTCCATCCACCTTTGCTCTGCTCTGGAGGAGCATGGCAGAATATTGAGGCTGTACAGTAACGCTGCCAGGCCTTTTGCAGCGGCCAGCATCCAGACGCTCAGAAGAGCTAATGGAGAAAGCAGCTAATGGGGCAGGCGTGGGGAAAGGCATCTGACTGGCCTGCCGTGTCCAGGCTGGCCAACAGCGGTCGCATTAATCACCCTTCCACAGGATTCCCAAAGAAATTGAAGTAGCCCTCAAAACATCACCAGCTTACACTGTGGAGCATTGCGATGAGGTCCTCAGAGCTCTCCAGACGTTAACACAGTCCGGATAAAACTTCATGCACAGGAAATCATCTTCACAGGTCAAAACACCGATGTCCCTGAAGGCAAAGGGGACGTGCTCCTTGTTCTTCAGGAGGCAACAGTACAAGATGATGGTCTCTTGCACACACTCCTGCACCACGTACAGTGGGAAGGAGGTGGCTTGCGCTAGCTGCAGGTAGTTCAGCTGCTCGACCTCGACGTCATCTGCAAGGAGAAGCAACATCCTCAGTGCCACAGCAAGCCCAAGTTGCTTGCAGCATTCCGAACAAGGGCCTAGAGGAAGGGTCGCTAAGAGAAACAGCTCCGGGGCCACGGGGTCTTCTGGGGGAACTCAAGCTCCACCCTGACCGTTGGAGACAATCCTCTGCCTCTCCCAGGCCTTTCCAAAGAGCAGGGAGAACAAATCCTTCCGGACATGGGGCAGGACGAGGGGGCTGCTGCCTTCTCACCAGGGAGGATCTCAGGGGGACAGTACATGTACTCCAGCCACCCCTCATCAATGTCCAGCTGGAAGAACGGTTTGCGAATCAGGAGCCGCTTTTGCTTGACGTGGAATTGCTCTTGGAGAACAGCAAAGGTCCCGAGTCCCGCAACCTGAATAGCCTGCACACAGAGAAGACAGAAAGGCTGAGGAGGGAGTTCTTGAGAGACGGGAAAAGGGATGACTCTCCGAGCAGGGGGACACTGCTCTGTGCCCTGCCTGCTCCTGAGGGACAATGGGGCAAGGTGGGGCACTTTGGAAAGCTTTGGAGAAGAGCCGCATCCTCCGTTTCTTCCATCACCCCCCTCCCAGGATTTGCCACCATCCTTTGGCTAGGGAAGAGCCCAGAGGTTTCCAGCACACAGCTTAGGCCTGGGACTGATTATCCTAGGCACGGACCCAGGATATTCCCCCATCTCTCTGCTCGCCCTCTCCACCCAGGCCGCAGGGAAGAGTGAAGCCCTAGGGTGTGCCAAACCCCTGAGAAGCAGAGCAGATCTGGCCTTGGTTTCTCTCCAGCTGGCCAGTAAGCTGCTCCGGGCACCCTGGGCAGTCTCAGTGCACTGCCGTGCTGCTCGGGTAGGGATTGCTCTGCAGGGCCCAGGACACCAGCCCACCTTATCCTGCTTCAGCGCTTCCAGAATTTGCTCGGATACAGCATCCCAGATAGCCTCAGTCTCTGGAAAGCAAGGAAAAGACAGGTCAGGCTCCAGGCCAGCCAGCTCACCACCTCTTGGCAAGCACCTCACCCAGGCGAGGACACATGCAGGCATACGCGAGCCCCCCAGAAAAACACCATGCGGGCATTCCTGGGACATTCCTGAGAGGCCTGTGGGAGCTGCAGGAAAGAGACTGCAGGCTCCCTGGGCCACCCCTTGCGAAGGGGCTCCTGACACCCTTACCTTTGGGGGAGAGATTCAGGAGCACTGGGAACTGGGAAACCATATCAGAGGCGATGGTCACCCTCCAGCAGCCCTCCATCTCGCTTGCTGCTGGCCCTCAGCTCAGGACAAGGGATGCCCGCCCTGGCTTCCTCAACCACAGCTCCTCTGCAAGGTGCCCCTGCTCCTCCGCCCGTCAGCGAGGGTCGCCCAGTGCAAGCTTGCTGCCTGCTGACCCCACTCCTGGCCGCAGAAGGACAGCGCTGGGGAGCACCCAAGCATGGCCCAGCAGGGACCAGCTTTGCAGGGAAGTGCCGGCACTGCCGCTGCACCAATGCTTATATCCTGGTGATGCAGGACATCCTTCTGTGACATCATCACGTGTCATAATAAGCCTTATGACGTCAGCAGCATGGAGACAGCACAGCTCAGGAGAGAGACGAGAGATTTCCCTTCTTGTCCTGAGAAACAGTCACCTCCCTTCTGCCCAGTTCATTCCTAGCGGTTCCTGGCTCATCCACCAGGAACATCTCCAAATTCTGACAAGGCCACAGAGTAAAGGAAGTAGAGCGCTGGAGAAGTCACTGCTGTGTTCCTCCCCATTTTCTAGGCAGTTTGCTAAAGTCTGTCTGCCAATACTCTCCAGGGCTGCAGGCCTCCCAGGGTCTATGAGTGAGTGGGCCTGTGCAGTGCTGGATGTAGGGCTGGCCCCAAAACCTCATCTCTTTCCCTGTGCTGCAAAGCAGCTGGACTATGACATGCATTTTGTAGGAGGAGTGTCAAGACACGGGTTTTCCTGTTTGCAAGTCCCAGATCCTGGTGAACATCACCTAGGTCGGCCCATCTGGCAGCTGTGCACAGAAGATGCCTCCAAGAACCCATAGAAACCTCGGGAATGTTTGCACCCTGCAGTGTCCCTTTTCTGTGACAGTCTGAGTGATTTAAGGCCCCCAGGGTGACATGGGGTCATTGAAGTCATCTTAGTCCAGTGGCTTCCACAAGACTGTCTGCTTCTTCAGCCTGACTGCAGGCATTTACCTCTGACCACACTGCCACCCTGACTGGATCTGCTCTGACCCTCACCCACAAGGGCTCCCCCACTCTGCTGCCCATCCCATAGAGGAGCTCCATGCATCCAGACAGATCCTTCACATGGAGGGCAACCCCCTGTTGATCATCCCCGCCTGTCTCTTCTGAAGAATCTGCCCCCATCCAGCACAGCACCCCAAGCTGGGGGACCTGTCCCCCCACACCTCAGCAGCTCTTCCATCAATGTCCCAGCCCTGTGACAGCAGGCGGGGATCCAGCTCCTCCTGCCTGTTGCCCCAGGCTGAGGGCATTGGGGCACATCTGGGCTGCAGCACCTCAGCTGTGGCACAAGGGCCAAACTCAGACTTGTCCCAGACCTTGTGCCAAGAGCCTGGGCATGAAGAGGCTTTCCTTCAGAGCAGAGATTTGCTGCCGTGGATGGGCACAAAAGGATGACTTAGGGGATCCCAAGAAGGGCAAGGCCTGGTGTTCCTGAGGCCAGAAGGAAACAGGCCTGGGCTGTGCCGCTCTGACAGCAGAGGGCCTTTGTGGTGTTGGTGCAGCCCTGAGGGCCAGTGCTGGAGCTGGGGCTGATCTTCAGGCAGGAGAAGGGGCTGCTGATTTCCCTTGATTTCCCCCATCTCCATTAATGATCCTGGAGCTGAGAAAAGGAGCTCACCTGCAGCTGCCCATGTTATTCACACCTAAACTGAGTGCAGAGGAATCCCAGCTCCCGTGGGTTTGTGGCAGGCATGGGAGGGATCTTTGTCCCATTCCAGCCCCAGGACAAAAAAAACAGCATGAGATGTCTTAACTGACTCTGCTGAATCCCTTCCTTAAGCAGGGGGCTAAAGGAGTTACTTTTATGACCATGCCTGGGTGTCCCTTCATCAACTGGGATGAGAAGAGAAGACTGCTACAGATAATTGTTTTGTGCTAAGAGAAATGAGCCTGCTGTCAAGAAGTGTGTGTGCCCAGGGGAGGGAGGGAAGCCCAGGGATCCCTTCAGGCTGTTTGCCAGCAGGTTTCCCTGCAGCCCCAGGGCCGTGTGCAGGGAGCCCGGGTGGGGGGCAGAGCAAGGGAGGCCTTGGGCTGGGCCTCTGCTGCTGAGCTGGGCCGGGCTCCTGGGCCCAAGGGGAGCTCCTGGCAAGCGGGCAGCGCTGCAGAGAGACAGCTCTGCCCAGGAGCAGCTCCTCTGCACAGTGCAGCAGGCCTGGGGGCACTGCCTGCAGAGACACAGTGCTTAAAGGCAGGCAGAAGTGGCAGCATGCCCAGAGCTCACCGGGGGAGAGAGACTTCCCAGCCCTGCACCCGGTAAGTCTCTGGCTGGAGGGCAATGCAGCCGCAGTTCGTGGAGGCAGGAGAAGCCGGGGGTGCAGGCAGGGGTGTCCAGGGCTGTGGTGCAGAGCAGGGTCCCTGCTGTGCCCCAGGGGCTGTGTGGTGGGGCAGGGCCTCTGCCGCTGCCAGGCTCAGCACTCAGCCTGCCCGGGGAGCTGCCCAGGGGCGCTGCGGGGAGAAGCTGCGGGTGGAAGGAGCCCCCCCGGCAGGGGCAGGGTCCTGCTGCTGCTGGGAGGCTGCTGCCTGGGGCAGCCTGCCTCACAGCTCCACAGCACAACCAGCGTGTATCTAAAGGGTCTTTGCGAGAGCCGGGATAAAGTAGGGGATTTCAGCTTCAGTCACAGCTTTTCTGAGCCTCCTGAACTTCCAATCTTCTCTACTTGCCTCAGTTGTAATAGAAATATTTGCTGTTAATTCAGGAAGTGCCTGAGACTCCATGATGGCTGAGAGGTTACAAGGATCTTTTCCTGCCCCTCAGCCCATAGAGAAAGCTCCCACCACCACATGTGCAGTGTCAGCAGGGTCTGTGTGCCCTGGGCTCTAGGACATGTCCCCAGCGAGCTGCCCCTGGGCAGAGCCCTGCTGCCAGGAGGTGTCTGCAGGGCCAGAGCTGAGCACCAGCAGGTGGGATGGGGGCTGTGAGCTGCAGGCAGGAGGCGTGGGGGACAGAGACCCAGCTGCAGGCAGGGACAGCTGCAGGCAGCAGAGCCATGGGCAGGGAATGACAGGGAGCTGTTCCCAGAAACTACATGGCAGAAGGGAATTTGGCCACATCCGTTCCATCCCAGTACTGCTGATGCTTTCCATTGCCTTGACTGCCATCCAGCAAAGCCTCTGCCCCCCACAGCTATGGGGATCTCATGCTTTGTTGTCCCTCGTGGCAGCAGGACCCTCAGAACAAAGAACACCCTCCCAAGTACCGATGTCTCACTCCATTCCTGCCTCCCTCACTAGGAACCCTGGGCCATTTTTCTGTTTCCCCTCCCATCCATCCTGCCCTTGCTGTTCCCCTCAGATTCCCTGGGGAGTGGGTTTAAAGATAGAGCTCAAACACCAGAATACTGAGTCGTGCTCTGGATGTGCATCCCTGGGAGCAGAGTGCCCAAGCTATTCTAGCCAAAATGGCTCTGGTCCCAGCCTAGTGCTGGGAAATAATCTGTCTCTGTTCAGGTCACTGTGGTTTATGAACGTCCAGCAGAGGTTTTCCTGGAGTTATCCTGCTGTAGGATGTTGAACAGCCCCTCTGAATTATAGGTACACTGCATCTGAATGAAACTATGAATTTAAGAATGGGTCACCACCTTTCCCAGCAGTGCTGAATCCGATGGAGCTCACGTGCAGAGGTCATGGCTCCAAACAGTGCTCAGCCAGCACAAACCGGAGCTTCATCCAGAAAGGAGAATGAAGATGCTGTTGAGAAAGCGCATATTTGCGGAGGTGGTGAGAAGGAAGGGTGTTGCTGAAAGGACAGAGAGTTGCTCAAGAAGTCTTGCCCAAAGTTTTCCATGTGCTTTCTCTTTGGACAGGCCCCAAGGCCAAGAGGCATCAGATGTCCAACAGCAGCTCCATCACCAAGTTCCTTCTCCTGCCATTTGCAGTCACACGGAGCTGCAGCTCCTGCACTTTGCGCTCTTCCTGGGCATCTACCTGGCTGCCCTCCTCGTAACGGCCTCATCCCACTGCCGTAGCCTGCGACCACCGCCCTCCACACCCCATGTACTTCTCCTCCTCAACCTCGCCCTCCTCGACCTGGGCTGCATCTCCACCACTGTCCCCAAGCCATGGCCAATTCCCTCTGGGTACTCCAGGGCCATCTCCTATGCAGGATGTGTTATACAGGTCTTCTCATTGTCGTCTTGTTTTCAACAGAGCTTTCTGTTCTCACCATCATGTCCTATGACCGCTACGTTGCCATCTGCAAGCCCCTGCACTATGGGACCCTCCTGGGCAGCAGAGCTTGTGCCCAGATGGCAGCAGCTGCCTGGGGCAGTGGGGTTCTTTATGCTCTGCTGTACACGGCCAATACATTTTCCCTGCCCCTCTGCCAAGGCAATGCCTTGGACCAATTCTTCTGTGAAATCCCCCAGATCCTCAAACTCTCCTGCTCACACTCCTACCTCAGGGAAATTTGGGTACTTATGGTTGCTATCTGTTTAGCATTTGGCTGTTTTGTTTTCATTCTTTTTTCCTATGTGTGGATCTTCAGGGCTGTGCTGAGGATGCCCTCTAGGCAGGGTCAGCTCAAAGCCTTCTCCACGTGCCTCCCTCACCTGTTTGTGGTCTCCCTCTTTGTCATCTCTGGCTTTTTTGCCTATCTGAAGCCCCCTTCTATCTCCTCCCCAACCCTGGATCTTTTGGTGGCAGTTCTGTACTCGGTGGTGCCCCCAACATTCAATCCCCTCATTTACAGCATGAGAAACAAGGAGCTCAAGGGTGCTATTAGGAAAGGAATATCATGGATATTTCTGAATGGTGATAAACTTCCCCTCTTTCTCCACAAATGACTTCCTGGATATAATTTGAAGGCCTGGTACTTGTTTCATTAAGAATATTGGTATTTTTATCTTTATCCTTAGTTTCATTTCCATTTATTACTTAGAAAAAAAAGGCTTATTATTCATCCAGCATCTCCTGAAGTATTAAACTGCGCTGTTTACTCTGCACAGTTTTTCCCTCCCTGCATGTCAGCATCAACTCTCCTTTAGCATCTGCTTAATAAAACAGCATCTCTCCAATGCACTGCCTGAAATCCTGCCTCTTCTTTCAAAGCTGGTGTCAGCAATAGGTCTGAGCATTGCGGTGGTTTCACACTGATGGTCAGCTGAATTCCACCACACCACTCTATCACCCCTGCTCCTGAAAGGTACAGATGAAGAAAATAGAGTTGGAAAGGGCTGCAGGGTTTATACAAGGTATGGGGAGATGACTCATCAATTGCAGTCATGGAAGCAGACCCTATAAGGAGATTAAGATAATATATTTACTAACAGACTGGAGCAATGAGAAAAAAAAAAAAAAAGTGAACTAAAAAGATATCCACCCTTCTCTCTCCTCCTCTACCTGCTTTCAGCTGTCAAAACCTGCAAGTCCTGGGCTTAGGGAGGGAGGAAGTGGGGGGCTGGAGAGGGCTGGTGGCTGCTGTCTTCCTGAGGGTCCCACTTTGCTAAGGGACAATGGGGCGGCCAGGACTCTTGGGTCCTGATGCTAGGGCTGCTCTGAGCCCAAAGGCTGCTTTAATCACTGCTCTGCATATCCTCATAAAGATGGAAAATCCAGGGCCAGATTTCCCTGGAGATATCAGATCATGTCCTGGGTGCTGAGATGCCATCCTTGGATGGCCACAGCTCTGGTGCTGAACCCCTTCCATTTGCCTTCTATTGTGGTTTTACTCTGCTAAGCAGCTCAACTCCACCATAACCTCTCTCTAACTCCTTCTTCTCAAAGGAAAAGGGGGAGAAAATATGATGAAAGGTGCTCAGGGTTTGTTCTCCTAGTAAGATCAGATCAGCCACCAAGTTTCATGAAATCATAGAGTCATAGAAGGTTGGAAAAGACCTCCAAGATCATTTGGTCCAACTGCAACCCCCTGTGTTGTCACAGTCACCAGTTATTGTCATGGGCAAAAATGAATGAGCGTAGGGAAATTAATATAATTTGTTGCCTATCACCAGCAAACTAGAATAGTGAGGAGCTACAAGCAAACTAAAACCCACCTTGCCCTCCATACATCCTCTTCTCCTTACACCCCCAAATAGCTCAGGGGAATAGGGAATGGGGGCTGCGGTCAGTCCATGATGCTTCATCTCCACCGCTTCTTCAGGGTCACTATCTGCCCCTGCTCCAGCATGGGATCCCTCCCATGGGATGCCGTCCTATCCAAACTGATCCTGTGTGTGCTTCCCACAGGCAGCAGCTCTTCAATAATTGCTCTTACATGGGTCCGAACCGTGGGGTCCATCTGTCAGGAGCAAACTGCTGTCCCACAGGCAGCAGCTCCCCCCAGATCCCCAGATCCCCTGCTCCTGTAGGGGCTCTCCATGGGCCGCAGCCTCCTCCAGGCCACATCCACCTGCTCCACTGGGGGCTCCTCCACGGGCTGTGGTGTGGAGATCTACTCTGCCATGGTACCCATGGGCTGCAAGTGTTGTCCGTATGTTCATGCCCCGTGGCCCCACCAATATGCACGTAGAGTCAGAATGCACACAAAGGTCTTTTAATTAAATAAGTAATTATAGAACTCTGCAGAGTCAGGTTTCTTGGTGAACTTTTGTAAAGCAAGCATACATCTAGTTTGAATCACCATTTTTTACACACAGCAAACTTGAGAAACTCTCTCTCTGGCTACTTTTAATTGGCTGTTTCAGCTTTCCTAACTTTCCTCTACTGAGTTTGTGCATTACAGAGGACCAGGCGCAGGGGGAGGAGGGGTATTGGGAGGCAGGTGGGGAAAACACCATATTCCACATTAGCATACATTACCATTTTTACTGGTGTGATTTTTAATATGTTAGTGACCCTTAATGAGCAAAAGGTCAGTCTGGAATCTTCCTGCAGTTGTTTTTTTCCTTTTTGTTTTTTATCTTCCATCCCTTATCTCCTTTGCTTCTGATATCTCAAGGCTACCTGTCTCCCTGTTTTCTTTAGGTTTCACAGAATCTTGGAATGGCCAAGGTTAGAAGGGACCTCTGAAGATCATCTAGTCCAACCCCCCTGCCAAGCAGGATCACCGAGAACGCATTGCACAGGATGGCATCCAGGTGAGTTTTGAATATCTCCAGAGAGGAAGACTCCACCACCTCTCTGTGAAAGTGTCACTCTCACAGTAAAGAAGTGCTCCCTCATATACAGTTGGAACCTCCTGTGCTTCAGTTTGTGCCCATTGCCTCTTGTCCTGTCACTGAGTACAACTGAGAAGAGTCTGGTTCCATCCTCCTGACCCCTCCCCTCAGATATTTATACACATGGATGAGGTCTCCCCTCAGTCTTCTCCTCTCCTATACAGGCCCATTAATCTAATGTTCCAGTCCTCTAATCAGCTTAGTAGCCCTCCTCTGGACTCTCTCCAGTAGTTCCATGTCCCTCTTGTCCTGGGGAGCCCAGACCTGGACACAGGACTGCAGGTGTGGCCTCACCGCGACTGAGTAGAGGGGGAGGATCACCTCCCTTGGCCTGCTGGCAACACTCTTCCGAATGCACCCCAGGATCCTGTTGGCCTTCTTGGCACAAGGGCACACTGCTGGCTCGTGCTCAGCCTGCCGTCCCCCAGGACTCTCAGGTGCCTCTCTGCAGAGCTGCTCTCCAGCAGTCACCCCCCCAGCCTGTTCTGCTACTTGGGGTTATTCCTCCCCAGGAACTTTCCATATGGAGTTTGCTTGTTCATTTGTTTGATTTTCCTTTCTGGCTTTGTGATAATGTTGCCTACACAGAAATGCCCTTCTCCATTCCCTTGTATCTAAGTATTCCCATCTGTGTGATCCATGGTTTCTCTAAACAATGAAACAGGCTCTCTGTGTATTTAAACCAAACAAATCCTGGTCTGAGACCCATTCTCAGCAGATCAGGAGTGAATGGAAACTGGGGCTGTGGTGGCAATGCCCAAAGCCCTGCAGCAGCCTGCAGTGAGCACTGCCGTGGGGCCAGGCCAGCCTGGGAGGTGGACAGAGGACAGGGAGCTGGGAGAGCTGGGGGCCAGCTGGGCCAGGCTGGAAGCTGCCCAGCAGAGAGAAACATCTGTGTTGAGCTGGGATGTGCAGCCACGCAAGGGGAGGACACCACTGCTGGCTTTGGGTCGTGTGGCAGGGATGGAAGACAGGCTGGTGCAGGAGGGAGGAGGCCGGGCTGTGCCCATCAGGCACAGACAGAGCAGGGAGGTGGCCCAGGGCTTTCGTCACCTGCAGCCTCTCTTGTCATCCATGTCCAGCACTGGCCGCTCCCCCCAGGTTTAGGGGTGCATTTGGCTGCCAGGCCATCTCCATCCTTGTGCCAGGCTCAGGGCCTGTGTCAGGGGAACAGCCAGCCCTGCTGGCCTCTGTCCTGGCCCAGAGCCCTGAAGACTTGGAGCAGGGCTGTCTGCAGAGGCTCCCGTGGGATGTGGATGGGTCAGGGCAGGGGCCGGGTGTGGCATAATGACCACACGGACACCAGGGTTCTTTTAGGATCTGTAACTGCTACATCTTTATTGATGACATAACTTCAGCTCTTTCTTACTGAGGGCCTAACTTCATCTCTCATATTGAGGACATAACTTCATTATCCCTTATCGAGGACAGGCTCCCTTCTTATACCATTCGCCCCCCAGCAGTACTTTTCCACTGACTATTCATTGGTCAACAACTTTGCCCTGCAACAGCAAACACCCAGCATCTTCCATGCCTTAACGGCTGGAGAACAAGCAACCCCAGACAACAAGGGGTCTCCTGAATCACCCTTCT